AAGTTTCGGACTTTTGAGAGAGTTTGTGGGGGAGTGAGAGGGCGAAGTGAGAGGCGAGGAACTGTGAACTGGGCGGACCTAGGGCAGTTCTCGCGTCCCAGAAGAAGCAGGAGGTGGCACACGCCGGAGAGAGGCCGAAATTGCGGCGGTGAGTCAACAGAAAGGAAGAGGCGGCGCGTGACCTGGCCGAGACCGCCGGAACGGACGGTCTGCTTGTCAGACCGGACGTTCTGGCCCGTTTTCGTCCGTTTTTCTCGCTCGTTTCGGTCCAATCCTTCGGGTCAACTTGGTTAGGGTCTAACTTAATATTTTAGGGACATTTTTATGACTTATATTTAATTTTCTAAAATTCGGTTTGAAAGTCGAATTTACGGGTTATTACAATGATGATTCGTAATTAGTGATAATACTTTTATTAAACATTTATAGTTTTCATCAAAAAATAGTATTTCGATATTAGTGATCTATATCGATCCAAGAATCCTAATTTGAATATTTTTTTCAAGGAGAAATTAACAATCCAACATTTAACACAAGGAAAAAGGAAATTACGTTATTTCCTTATTATTATTAAGTACGTGTGAAGTGATATTATGTCAAAACTATCTTTATTTTATTATATGAATTTCAAATCATACTATTTTCAATATTTTTGTGATGTGACCAATATGATTAGTGTGATCACCATAGAAATTTTAAATAGTGTAATCATAATGTAAATTTTAATGATATGACCAATGTGACCTTCACATAGGTCATAATCATCATACTAATCATACAAAAAATGACCACTAATCATACAAAAAAATTAAAAAGAGTATGGTTTAAAATTCATGTAACAAAGTAAAGCTATTTTTGATAATGGATTATGTGAAGCAAAAAAAGGAAAATACATAACCATATCGGACCTAAAAATTTTCCATCCTAAATTTCCAATATAAGTTATCTAACAAAATCAATTCAAAATATGTTTATAAAAACTCTAAAATATCCAACCATGACTATTTATAAGCATTGAAATAAAATACCGCAACAAAATATTTAAAATCTCCATTTATATTCAATAAAATTTATAGACCTATTTCTTAAATGATGAGTAAAAAAGATAATGTGTAGTGACAACTAATTAATTGATGAGTTAAAAAAAGTATATATGTGTAATGAAAATTTCAAAAATATCTTTAAACCCTAAAAGTAAAATGATAATTATTCCATATACCAATCTAAATTTCAAATTATTCCGTATACACTTTTGCATAGTTTCCTCACAATCTTGATGCTTAGAAAGTCTGAAAACCCCTGTTATCAATGTTTGATAACAAAGTTTCGGACCCTGATGGTTACCTAAAAGAGTTCTCTGTTGTATCTTGGAAGGCGGTACGTATGGATTTGGTACGAGCCATCCAGAAGTTCTTCACCAGTGCACACCGCCTCGGGCAGATCAACACATCGATGATTCCATTGATTCCCAAGAAGGCGGGAACAGACTCAAGCCAATACTCAAATGCGTAATTTAACCAAACCAAGGATCCTTCATTCAAGGCCGACTTATGCTTGAGAACATTCTTCCGGCTTCAGAACTGATATGAGACTACAACTGTTCCACAGCTCAAGGTGATGTTGAATATCGACATTCGGAAAGCTTTCGACACTATCAGGTGGAACTTCATCCTGCGAATTCTGCAAGCAATTGGCCTTCCACCTCGCTTTGTTAGATGGATTAAACAATGCATAACGATGACCAAGTTTTCGATCTCGGTAAATGGTGAACCTGTCGGGTACTTTCCGGAAGGCAGAGAGTTCCGCCAAGGAGATCTGCTATCCCCTTATTTGTTTATACTCTCGATGGAGATCTTGTCGCGGTTGTTAGACGAGTCCGCTACTGTTGGCTGACTTACCACGCATCAAGGCTATCGCGACCCATTGATTACTCATCTATCGTTTGTAGATGATGTGATCATCTTATCGGCAGCAACATTAGAGTCTATAACCGAAATAAGGGACATTATTCAACAATTTGAGAGGTACTCGGGTCTCACAATCAACCACAACAAATTTGGTCTCTTCATCAGTGGAGTCACTGAGCAGGAAGCAACGAACTTTTCTACAATCCTGGGAATCTGACGAGCCTCCCTGCCAATCAGATACCTAGGATTCCCATTAAGTCCATGGAAGCTATCAAAACATGATTATCAGCCTCCTCGAGAGAATAAGCTTCAAGATACAATCCTGGATGATAAAACTTCTCTCTTATGCGGGAAAGGTACAACTCATATCCTCCGTCATCTACGGTTTAGTGAACTTATGGTGTTCTGTATTTTTGCTTCCCAAATACTTGATCAGACAGGTTGATGGTATGTGTGACAAGTTCATGTGGAAGTCAAGCACTACGGGATAAGGAGCTCACAGAGTTGCATAGAGCAGCATCTGCCTTTCCAAGAACGAAGGGGGGCAAGGGCTAAGAAGGCTCAACGATGTCAACATGACAACCAAACTTAAGCTAGTTTGAATTTTGTTCGTGAAATCTGGCTCGCTTTAGGTAGCATGGGTCACCACGTATATATTCAAGCGGAGGTCATACTAGAGAACCAACCCATCACCTCGGCATACCTGAAATATCCGCAGAAAGCTAATAGGGATCAAGGATTGGGCAAGACACTTCCTCAAGAAGAAGATAGGAAATGACATAGGAACCCATTTTTACTAGATAGTTGGACCAAACTTGAGCCATTGACAGATTTTCTGGGTGATTCTAGACCTCGCCAGTTGTGTGTTCCTCTGCATGCACTAGTCAGCGTCGCAACCCGGAGAATGGCTGGTCTCTTCCACCGGCCCGATCAGGCAAAGCCCAACGTTTGCAGGAAATCCCCGATCAGGGAAAGTCCAACGTCTGCAGGAAATCCTAACCACCATTGAAGCACCATCGCCTACCAAAGGACCAGATACCGCCTTATGGAAACATGATTCTGACACATATCGATCGAGCTTCAGCACTACACATACTTAGAAACAACTGAGAAATGCATCGCCAACAGTTCTTCGGGCGAAAATTCTATGGTTCGCACACAATACCTAGACACGCCTTTGTGCAATGGCAAGCGTTTCTAAGCAGACTTCCGACTAGGAATAGGTTGTATCATTGGGGTATCCAGCCGCTGACACAATGCCACCTATGCAACGCCAATGTGGAGACTTACCAACACCTATTCTTCAAATGCTCATACAGTTCGAACCTATGGAAGCACTACGCAGCCACGATCAGGCACGATTCCCCACTCCGGCTATCTCTTATTCCTAGCTGGATTAGAAGGCTGAGACGAGAGCGACAACGAGCAAAAATCTCAAAAATCACACTCCAATCAATGATCTGTTTCATCTGGCTAAAACGGAACAACCACATCTTCCGTTCGCAGGCCGCTGACGTAGTTGCAATCCGACCCAAACTTGATCAACTAGTGCATAATGTCATCCTCCCTTGCCACAATGGAACGGAGCCAAGGGAAAACATCATTTTTCAAGACCGGTTTCACCTTAAAAGGCCACCTTGACATCTCCAAGCATAAACAATGCTCTTTTGAAATGCTTTTTGTAAAATCCTTCTTTGGTGTTCTATTCTGCGGTGTTAAAGTCGACATGTAACTTACAACCTGATTTTTTAATTTAATCCATGCACATTTCATTAAAAAACTTATAACGGATAATATATATATATATATAAGGGAGATAATGTTTAAGTACAATAATTTTTTTATTCACGAATTGTTCATAGCCATATCAGATTGAACCATAGATATGTAATACATAACATAATTAAAGCACACATATTTTTCATAAATAAAAATAGTATTGTTGTTTGGTTCTTAGCAGTAGCAGTGGCATTGTTTGCCATGAGAAACGTGTTTGCAAAAGCCGCCTTTCTGGTTCGAACATCCTTTGAGACACCACTGGTTGCATCTTTCTTCATCGTGACTTGTCTGACATTTCCCAAACTTCGGATGAGTGTTGCAGCACAGTGAATCATCACCCGTCGCCACTTCAGCATCTGGAAAATATCACAAAACATATGTAATACAAATAACGAAATTCAAATCATGAATGTCATGTCAAAGTGTGAATAACCAAGATTTTATCATATCATCGTCATTGTTTTTCGTGTTTTGATTAAGGAAATAGACGAACCGGCGCAGAAGAGAAGAACAACGAGCAAAGCAAAGGAGATGGCTTTCATGTTCATGTTTTATATTCTTTCTTTGTCGAGAGATTTTTGTTGTGTTTTTTTAATTGAGGTATATGAATATTGCACATACTTCCTCTTATTTATAGTCATGCCAATATTACAAATATTGCACATTGTTATGCCTTAAACTGTCAAAATTATAATATTCACTCATTTCATCTTTAAAATAGATTCCGACAGCAAAATCTGGTAATAGCATTATATACCTTAGCGGAGGAGTGTTAATAGGGTTTGAGATTAGTTATATCCTATTTTTGGATTATTTTTTTTTCTATGGTGAGTTCGATTGTTTTTCATTTGACAAATTACAAGAATAGATAAAATATAATTCGATTATTATATCACTATTTGTTTGATTAAAACACTATATCTTACAATGCAAAGTGGTAGTCCAAGGCACGAATGTGATGTTCATATTGGAATATCCCACGATATTCTCCTGTATCTCTTGTATCTCTGCGTATCTTTGTAGTTATGGAAACCAAGATTATAAGAACTTGATTATAGGAACAATAGCTCCTTCCTTGCCTGTATATAATCGATGTATACTCCTCTCATTTGAATAAGATTGCACAAACTTCTTTATGGTATCTAGAGGTTATTGATCTCACGATCTCCTTTTTTTTAAACCCTAGCCGCCTGCATCTCCGACGACGTTCTAACGTCAACCCGACATTATGTCTCAGCATGAAGCCCCTGCTCCGGCGACTGCCAACTCTCCCGCCACTGCCTCTGTCACTGCAACGTCCTTTAATCCGGCTGATCCACAAGCGACGCTGCTCAACGTCAAATGGCGAACATCACCAAGTTAACTCTTACGAACTACATAACCTAGAGTATTCAGGTCCTCGCTCCTTAAGGGACATCAACTCGACTGTTTTGTCTTCGATGACACCGCTGTTCCACCCGCCATGATCCTAGCGAATGATTTGCTCGTTCCGAATCCCGCGTTCACACCGTTCAAGAAACAAGACACGTTGTCGTTCAGTTCCATCATCGGTGCCATCTCGGTGAATCTGCAACCGATGATTACTCGTGCTCCGTATGTTCGAGATGCATGTAAAATCCTTGTCAATACCTGCGGGAAAGCTTCTCATGGCCATCTACTCCAACTTCGCGACCAGATTAAGAAGTTTGTCAAATGTACTCAATCAATCGATGAGTACATCAGATACATTGTCTCCAAGTCCGATGAGCTGGTCCATCTCAACAAACCAATGGATCTCGAAGGTATCCTCGAATCCATCCTTGATGGTATTCCCGAAGACTACAAACCCATAGTCGATATGTGGTTCACGCTAAAGATGTTGCCATTCCGATTCAAGAGCTTCATGAGAAGCTCATTAACCATGAAGCCAAGCTTGCCTCGGCCGCCGTATCAGCCTCCTCGATTTTTTCCGTCACAACCAATGCTATAGACTCTCGTCCCAATCAGCCCTTCCGCGACAATGATGGAACACCCAGTAACTAGAATCGTTCACCACACGGACGAGGCAATGGTGGTCGGTCGCATGGCTACAATGGTCGATGCCAAGCCTGCGCCATTCATGGGCATAGTGCCCAGCGCTGCACTCAATATCGACTGATCTCTGCTTCTGATTAAGCCGGATCCCCCTGGTCATCTTCTCCTTGCCCGTGGCAGCCGAGAGCCAACCACATAGCTCTCTCTCCCTTTGATTTTGGTCTATGGCTGATGGATAGTGGTGCTTCTCACCACATTACGTCGAATCTTCAGAACTTGGTGTTGCACAACCCTACAATGGTGGAGATGATGTTGTTCTCAGTGATGGTTCTGCCCTAGCCGTCACTCATACTGGTTCCCTTTCTATGCCCTCTTCCTCTCGTCATCTCTCTCTTAAGAATGTGTTATGCGTACTGTCTATGAAGAAGAATATTATTTCGGTAAATCAGTTATGCAACTCTAACGATGTGTCAGTGGAATTTTTTTCTTACTCTTTTCAAATGAAACATCTAAGCACGAGGGCACCAATTCTAACCGGAAAGCCTAGAGACGGTGCCTATGAGTGGCCGGTCTCCTCTTCTTTGTCGTTGTCTCCCAAAGCTTTTACGTGTCTTAAGTCTACTTTGTCCGAGTGACATCATTGTTTAGGTCATTCCTCTAGTTCTAGTCTCCAAAACATTGTCTCTACATTTGGTTTGCCATTTTCTCGGGACTCATCTCCATTACCTTGTGATTCATGTTCGATCAATAAAAGTCATAAAGTCTCGTTTTCTGTTTCAACCTTATCGTCGACTCGCCCTTTCGATATTATATACTTGGATGTTGGGACCTCCCCGATTATTTCTATTGATGGTTACGTTCCCTTTGTCGACCACTTCACCCGTTATTCATGGATTTATCCACTTAAACAAAAATCTCAAGTCCGTGATACTTTTATTCGATTCAAAGTCCTCGAGGAAAATAGATTCTCAACTAAAATCACAACACTTTACTCTGACAATGGTAGTGAATATCTCGCCCTAGCGTCAATTCTTGCCACTCACGGCATCTCACACTATACACAACCCCTCCCCACACTCCCGAACACAATGGCATTTCTGAGCGTAAACATAGACATGTGGTTGAAACCAGTCTCTCCCTTCTCCACCGAGTGTCTATGCCCTTAACCTATTGGTCTTATTCTTTCATCACCGGAGTCTACCTCATAAATCGCTTACCATCTCCCACTCTCCAAATGCCATCCCCGTTTCAAACACTATTCGAAAGTTCACCAAATTACAACAAACTCCGAGTTTTTGGTTGTCTATGCTACTCTTGGTTAAGACCCTATAATTCCCACAAGTTTGAACCAAAATCGGCCCGTTCTTCCTAGGATACTCGTCTACCCAAAGCGCCTATTTTTGTCTTGATCGCTCTCGTTCCCCAATGTTTGTCTCCCATTATATGATTTTCCATGAGTCATTTTCCATTCGCCGTCCCGATATATGAATCTAGCTCTCCTATTCCCGATGAGTCCTCCCCAAACATTGAGTCCTTTGTGTCTACAGTCTCGCCTTACACACCGTCGTCACTTATAGCTCTGTCTCCGATTCCTCACTCTCCGGCTTCGATACCCCTGTGTGCGGATTCATCACCGTCATGACCATTGGAAATGCTCCTGCCCGACCTCGTTGTTGCTGAAGCTGCTATACTATCATTCTCCGAGCCGCACACATCTCCGGATATCGCTGATCAGCCGTTGTCTCATGTCCGATACAGACATCCTATGATAACTAGAGGTAAAAATTACATCTCCAAACCTGTTCAGAAACTCACACCTGTGGCCTCGGTTGTTGATTCTAGAAGGGAACATACATCGGTTGGACAAGCATTAAAGGACTTAAAGTGGCGTCAAGCCATGAGTGATGAATTTAATGCTCTAGTCCGCAATGGTACATGGGAATTGGTACCATCGGATAACATCACCAATATTGTCGGGTGCGAATGGGTTTTTCGCATCAAGAAAAATCCTGATGGTTCTCTAGACCGCTACAAAGTCTGCCTTGTAGCAAAGGGCTTCCATCAAAGACCGGGTGTGGATTTTCAAGAAACTTTTAGTCCAGTGGTCAAGCCATCTACGATTCGCCTCATTCTTAGCATTGTTGTGACAAATGATTGGAAAATCAAGCAACTCGACATCAACAATGCCTTTCTCTAAGGGCGACTATCGGAGGAAGTCTATATGAGCCAACCAACGGGTTTTATTGACAAGGATCGTCCCACTTTTGTTTGTAAGCTTCATAAGGCAATCTGCAGTCTCAAACAATCTCCAAGAACTTGGTATTTAGAACTTCGGACTTTTCTTCTTGCTCAAGGGTTTATAAATTCACTAGCTGATACCTCCTTATTCATATTATGGACTCCGACGACTCATCTCTTTGTATTGGTTTATGTTGATGACTTGATAGTCACGGGAAGCTGCTCGACTCGGATTGATGAGTTTATTTCCACACTTGTGGCACGGTTCTCACTCAAGGATCTAGGAGCATTATCCTTCTTCTTGGGTATTGAGGCAACACGATCAAAGCATGGTTTATTTCTTGGTCAAAGGAAGTATATTAATGATCTACACGCCCGCACAAACATGTTCGATTCTAAACCAGTGGCAACCCCGATGGTATCGAAGTCGCGACTCACTTTAACGTCCGACTCTCCCTTGGCCGAACCCACAGAGTACCGAGCTGTCATTGGAAGCTTGCAATACTTGTCACTCACTCGTCCGGATATTAGCTTCGCGGTGAACAAGCTATCACAATTTATGCATTCTCCAACGACTAATCACTGGACAACAGTCAAGTGTATTCTCCACTACTTGGTTGGAACTCGTCACCTTGGTATCACTCTGACTTCGTCCAATATTCCGAACCTTCATGCTTTCAGTGATGTTGATTGGGCATCGTCTACCTTGGAAGTCATCCAATATCTTGGTCTTCCAAGAAACTCGCCGGTCACTCCCGCTCCTCCACGGAAGCTGAATACCGTTTGATAGCCAATGCCTCTCTGATTCGGTGGCTGGTCCCGCTGCTTGGTGAGCTTGGTTACTCGTCCTCCTCCACGCCGACTATGTATTGTGTCAATATCGGAACAGTATCTCAATGCCAACATGGTCTTCCACTCATGCATGAAACACTTAGCACTCGACTACCATTTTGTTCGCAGCCAAGTTGAGGATGGTATGCTACGAGTATCTCATGTTAGCTCAAAGGATCAATTAGCGGACGCATTCACCAAACCACTACCACACACGGCATTCCAAGAACTCTGCGTCAAGCTCGGAATTACCTCCAACAATCCGACTTAAAGGGGCGTATTGGAATATCCCACGATATTTTCCTGTATCTCTGCGTATCTTTGTAGTTATGAAAACCAAGATTATAAGTACTTGATTATAGGAACAATAGCTCATTCCTTACTTGTATATAATCGATGTATACTCTTCTTATTCCATTTGAATAAGATTGCACAAACTTCTTTAGTTCACACTAAAACAATATTTTCATATCCAAAATCTGATGCATACAGTTTTTAATTTTCATTTTAAGATTGAGTTAATGGAGTGCATTTGCATTCTAGGAACAAACAAGACGTTGATGTGTTTCTATAAGTTAGGGGTTTATTTGAAAAAAAAATGGAGCTAACATTTTTTATTTTTTTTTGTCAAAGAGCTAACATTTTTCATGTTGAAATTTCTAACATAACTTATCTCACGAGAGTCGATTCCCTAAAAGATTCAAAATCTCTCTATAAATTCCCTTCACCTCTTTTTTTTTTCTTCCGGATTCGACAGTGTCAATGTGTCGAGTAATCACATAGTTATGTCATTGTTGATATATATTTTTTTCCAGATTCAAAATCTTATATACGATGATGATATTGTTCTCATTATTGATATGTTTTGTTCGATCTCTTTAAAAAATTTAGTTATAAGGTAATACTAAAAACAATATTATTAAATATCATAGTTATATTTTGTTTTAAGAATAGTTTAATTTATATATTTGTCATAAAAAAATTTATTAGGTTAATTTTTGTATTTTTTGTAGATTCATGTAGTTGATACAATATGGTCTGACACCAAACTTTTTCGTGCGAGATGAAAGATACGTGCGATGATCCGACTTGGTGAGGAAAGGGTTCAAACGAACAAGGCGTTTGTGGTTCGTTGGGTCTGTTGGGTTCGGTCCGTGGATCTACTACGTACCATGGTGTTCCTTTGGGTTGTCCGATTCGGGAAGTCGGGATAGTAAATTCGGGATAGTAAAATTAAACTTGATTTTAGAAAATCAATTAAATATTTTGGTATGTTTATGAAAAAATGTGATTAATATGAAAAGTGTATGCAAATATGATAAATATGTAAAGTGTGTGAAAATGTGATGAAATTGTAGTTTGATGAGGTAGTTAGAAATGTGTAGAATATGTGTGGAAGAAAATTAGGTAAAAATGTGTTTAATAAGTGAGTTAGATATGTATTTAGGTGTGGTTTGTAGTATACATATGTGTGTTTGTATGTAGTTTGATATCAAGCAGATTTGAAAAGAAAACAAAGAGAAAGATTAAAAAAAAAAATAGTTCCTCTTCCAAAATATTTAAATTCTTTCTTCTTCCAAATATTTCCTAATATCCTCCAAAATCCTAAACACTAAATAATCATCATCCTTCATCTGATTAATTCTCCCTAATCCAACAAAGCGGTATTAGAGCACGGTTTCTTAAATTTCCGAGGAAAAAAAAACTTGAGAGATTAAAGAGAGTTGTGAGAAATAATGGCGACAACAAGCTTTCAATATCTCCGTCTAACAAAGACGAATTATGAAAAATGGTGCTTACAATGAAGGCTTTGCTCGACTACAACGAAGTTTGGGAGATTGTGGAGAAAAGGTACGAGAAACCCGAAGATGAGGAGTCCTTATCACCACCCCAAGTGAAGGCTTTATCCGAGTCAAAGAAGAATGATAGCTCTCACTCTCATTCATCAATGTTTGGATGAGAGTTACTCGACAAAGCCTCTCATGTCACTACGTCAAATAAGGTATGGAAGATTTTAGAAAAATCTTTTCAAGGCGTAGAGAAAGTAAAAAGAGAGATTAAATTCATTAAAAACCGATTTTGAAGCACTAGCGATGGAAGAATCCGAATTGGTTTCGGATTACTGTTCAAGGATGAAGTCAATCGTAAATCAACTGAGGATTTACGGGGACAAAATAGAAGATGTTTTTGTGGTGGAAAAGATCCCCCGATGTGGTGGAAAAGATCCCCCGATCTTTAACACCAAAGTTTGATTACAAGGTGTGTGTTATAGAAGAGTCTAAAGATGTAGACTCGATAACAATAGAAGAATTGGAAGGAAGTTTGATAGCACATGAAGAAAAATTAAATAGAAGACAAGGAGGAACATCGGAAAAATTCTTCAAGCAAAGGTTGCTTTGAAGAATGTTGAGAAAAACAAAGGCCAATACTTTCGAGGACACGGACGTGGCCGAGGAAGAGGACGTGGATATGGCCAATATGGAAGAGGGAGAGGAAATGGAGACAATCCGAGTTACGAAAAAAATAATCCAATATCATTCAGAGGTTGTGGTACACCAAGAGGAAGAGGAGCGGTTTCTACACAAATACATATGAACGGAGGTATGACAAAACAAATCTTGAATGCTACAATTGTCATAAAATGGGACATTTTGCTAGAGAATGCCCAAGTGATGACAAAAGGAATGAAGAAAGGGTCAATCTCCTCAAGGACGAACATGAAACGGGGGAATCAACCTTGTTGCTCGCAATCAAAAGTGGAGAAAAGGATACGGACAATCATTGGTACCTAGATAATGGTGTAAATAACCATATATGCGGAAGCAAAGAGAAGTTTGTGAAACTCGATGAGAATTTAAAAGGTAATGTCTCATTCGAAGATTCTTCAAAGGTACAGATCGAAGACAAAGGTACGATTGTCATATCCACCAAGGATGGAAGTCATAAGTTGATCACTAATATCTATTATGTACTGAAGTTGAGAAGTAATATTCTAGGCTTAGGACAACTTGGAAAAGGATATGAAATCCTTATGAAAGATGAATACCTTTGGTTAAGAGATCATCAATCAAGCTTGGTTGCCAAGGTGGCCATATCAAAGAATAGGATGTTCAAGTTGAACCTCACGACAATTGAAGCAAAGTGTCTGAAAGCCAAGACACAAGATAAATCGTGACGTTGACATTTGAGATTCGGCCATCTAAACTTTGGAGCTCTCAAGACGATGGGAGAAAATGATATGGTGAAAGGAATGTCATCCATTAATCATCCTGATCAATTATGTGAGGTTTGTGTTCTAGAAAAACAAACAAGAAAGTGTTTTCCTAAGGAAACCACATCAAGAGCAATAGAGCCCCTTCAACTCGTGTATACATATGTCTGTGGACCAATAAATCCATCTTCATTTGGAAAGAAAAGGTATTTCATTCTCTTTATTGATGATTTCAGTAGAAAAACTTGGATATATTTTTTGGAGCAAAAGTCAGAGGCATTTACAACTTTCAATAATTTCAAGATGATGGTGGAAAGACAAAGTGGTTGTAAAATCAAAGGGTTAAGGTCCGATCGAGGTGGAGGGTTCACTTCCAAAGAATTCAGTGACTTTTGTGTATATCATGGTATTCAATGCTCATTGACAACTGTCGACATGCCACAACAAAATGGAGTCGCTGAAAGCAAGAACAAGACCATTGTGAGTTATGATGTGGGTTTGATGAAGATGGAGAGTGGGACTGTGTAACAACCGAGGCAGCTACAGAATGATAGAGCTATCCCCACACACCAACAGGGGACCTTTTAGCGTGTTTTGTCCTCACTCGCACACATCCCGGAAAGTACTTCTCAGGAGGTCACCCATCCTAAGACTACTCCAAGGCCAGCACGCTTAACTTTGGAGTTCTCTCGAGATGAACAACTGAAAAGGTAGATGCATCTTGTTGCTATGAGTAGCTCAATCAATTCCTTTAAGTTATCTTTGACTGTGTAGTCTCATACCTACACAGTCCTCGGATCCCTCTCATTCGGGTGTGTTCGATTCATCTCTGTACCCCTACCCAGAAACTCGTCAGGAGTCGCACATTGTCCATGACTCTCGCACCGGCGATCACTTCCCGTCCTCCTACGGTATCCTGGGCTATCACAGGCCCACCATCTTCCGCCTGGTTCATCCTCGAACCACACCGTACTGAGAGAGAACCGGCTCTGATACCATTTGTAACGACTGAGGCCGCTACGGAATGATAGAGCTGTCCCAACACACCAACATGAGACCTTTTTAGCGTGTTTTTGTCCTCACTCGTACACATCCCGGAAAGTACTTCCTAGATGGTCACCCATCCTAAGACTAATCCAAGGCTAGCACGTTTAACTTTGGAGTTCTCTCGAGATGGGTAACCGAAAAGGTAGATTCATCTTGTTGCTATGAGTAGCTCAATTAATTCCTTTAAGTTATCTTTGACTGTGTAGTCTCATACCTACACAGCCCTCGGATCCCTCTCATTCTGGTGCGTCCGATTCATCCCTGTACCCCCTACCCAGAAGCTCGCGAGGAGCCGCCCATTGTCCATGCCTCTCGCATCGACGATCACTCCCCGCCCTCCTATAGTATCCTGGGCTGTCACAGGTCCACCAGCTTCCGCCTGGTTCGTCCTTGAACCACACCATACTGGGAGAGAACTGACTCTGATACCATTTGTAACAACCGAGGCCGCTATGGAATGATAGAGTTATCCTCACACACCAACACGGGACCTTTTAGCGTGTTTTGTCCTCACTCGCACACATCCCGGAAAGTACTTCCCAGGAGGTCACCCATCCTAAGACTACTCCAAGGCCAGCACGCTTAACTTTGGAGTTCTCTCGAGATGGACAACCGAAAAGGTAGATGCATCTTGTTGCTATGAGTAGCTCAATCAATTCCTTTAAGTTATCTTTGACTGTGCAGTCTCATACCTACCCAGAAGCTCGTCAGGAGCCGCCCATTATCCATGCCTCTCGCACCGGCGATCACTTCCCGCCCTCATATGGTATCCTGGGTTGTCACAGACTGGAACACTCACAATGAAGACTATACATTCCTTCCCTGCATAGAAGAACAAACAGGGAATGAGATTGAAGAACCCACAACACCACAAGATCTATGATCGCCATCATCATCAGATGGAAGCTCAAGTGAAAGAACGCCTCGATTCCTGAGCATTGAAGATCTATATGAGGCAACTGAAAGACAAGTTGATCTTATTCTTTTGTCTTTTTACGGACTGTGAACCTAAGAATTTTGAAGAAGTTTTACAAGATGAAAGGTGGAGGAATGACATGGATGAAGAGATTAGGGCCATTGAGAAGAATGATACATGGGATTTCACCTCATTTCCAAAAGGTCACAAAGCGATCGAAGTAAAATGAGTATACAAAGCAAAGAAGGATGCCAAAGGGGAGATCGAAAGATATAAAGCAAGGCTGGTGGAAAAAGGTTACAGTCAAAGAGAATGAAACGACTATGATGAGGTATTTGCTCCTGTAGCTCGTCTTGAGATTGTAAGATTGATCATATCTTTAGCAGCCCAAAACAGGTGGAAGACACATCAAATGGATGTAAAGTCGGCATTTCTTAATGGGGTACTTGAAGAAGAAGTTTATATCCAACAACCTCCTGGTTACAAAGTCTGAGGGAAATAAGACAAAGTGTTGAAATTGAAAAAAGCACTCTACGAATTGAAGCAGGCGCCGAGGGCTTGGAATACCCGCATTGACAGGTATTTTACTGAAAACAATCTTATCAGATGTCCATACGAGCATGCGCTCTACATCA